CTGCGTGGATGTTAACCTTGGTAACCATGTGAGGATACCCCAAGCCCAATACGCTGTATAGTGATTTAGTACAGAGTTTCATGTGTGCCATGAAAATCATGTGCAAGCATGTTTGGTTTGACCAGGACACAACCAAAGTTGTCAAGCACGTGACGTGTTTGGCTCAAGCGCACAAAGTGTGTAAAATAACGAAGGTTCACACCCAGATGATCTGATGACCAAGCCAATGAGGAGGGCTGCGAGAGATTAATGCCTTTCATGAGCCAAAGGTTTGTGGGGGGCAGAGCGTTGGGAGCAAAGCACATGGTAGAAGTACCCAACCAGCGAACGCTGGCCAAGCACAGAAGGAGGGCTGATGAAATCATCATTTCCCCGTCGTGTTTGCTTGTTGATCATTTGGTTCAAAATGAAAATGTGCCCAGCATATCTTTTGATCATGGCCTATCACGGAGTAGCGCCATGTGGAAGCAATAGATATTCGACGGCAAAGATGCGAGGCTGCGTGTAATTTGGTGACACCAAGATCTGCTGGGAAGCAAGGTCCTAATCCCATCTGATTTTTGATGGGGCTTTGCGAAACCAAACATGTTTCATGGCGGGGTCGAGGTTTGAAAACACAAATAAGACAGGAAGGCACGCTCTTGTGGCCTCAGTTTCGTGGTAGTGACGAAATATTTGAAAATTGCTGATTATCATGAGCGATGAAAAAACGCGAAACACACTTGTAGAATCATGAGGTAAATGTGGGGATCCTCATTCAATTTGAGCGCTACAATCGCAGAAGTATGTCATAAATCTTTATGAGTAATGTTCCACTCTCCTTAAAACATTCTGGTCCGACCGTGCGCGAGTGGGATGTGTACATGTAGGTGTTTTGGCGTTGGTGTTGGGGCATCAGGTACCTGCAGGGTCCGTGTTGTTGCTGTGGTTGTATCGCTGGAGAGGTACCGCGGCCTGCGGAAACAGCACAGGCGCAAAGATTAGCCCCCGCACCTTGGCCGGAAAGATGCGTAAGACTTAAGCGGCCGTTGTTTGTTTGCCCAGGTTCCTGAGGTGCAACAGGCGCTTCAGACTCGGCAAGTGCATCAAGCACAGCCCTTGCAGCCCGTGCAACACCAGCATCTGCACTTGCCTGAGTCTGTTGACTCGTTCTGATGAGATAAGATCCTGACTTGAATTCAGGCGGGAGACGCGGGAGCGAGAGGCAAAGGGACCGAAATGGCATAGCCTGAGGACCTCTCCTCCATACTTTGGGTGTTGCAGGTCCATCAGCTTCGGGACACTAGACCTGAGGTGGGACCCTTCATGTTGGTGTTCCCAGCACTCAGACTCCGAAACCGCTGGCCGAGTCTCGGGGCCTTCTTCGCGCTGTCCAGCCCTTCACTTCCGGAAGTGATTCTCAGATGACTCTGAACACCTCGGACCGGGGCATGGAGGGATTCTGTTCAGGCATTCTGAGAAAGCCATGATTAGCAGGATTACGTGGAGATTGTGGAGCGCCATCCCACGGGCTGGACTTTTGGCCGCAAGGCAGGCAGAATCTCGCGAACCTTCATTTGTTGGGTGGCCTTGCCCCCTTTTTGATCAGGTGGATGCGGCGGGAACTGCGGTATCCGAGGGTTGGTTCCCAGACTGGGTCCCTGGAGCCTGATTGGCTGTATTGTTGCATCGGTTCCTGTCTCAATGTGCACATGCCAGGTCTGCAATCCCAAGCTGCACGACTGCAGAATGGTTCAATTCGTGAATTGTGGAACTCCTCCATTTGGTGCCCCAAGCAACAGGCCGTGAAGCGCAGGTGAAGGTCAGCTTCGTGATGCTGGCATGTGGCTGATTGCATAGGCTTAGGCCCTCAAGCTGTAGTGCCTGAAGATAACGCTGCCTGAACAAAGCCCCTTCCCACCTCCAAATGTACCTTCTTGTTGATTACTGCTTGCCAGGCATCTCACCTTTTTTCAGCAGTTGGTACATGGCCGGTTAAGCACAAGCAGTGTCCGTGGCTAAGCTATCCCTGAGTAACGGAGCAAGATGTTGTCCCCGAAACATGGCCAGCCTGGTGCAGGGTGCGATTCAACGTTATGGCTCCTGACTGGGTTGAGCAGATGCTGCGAGCATTGAGCTAACATATATACCAGAACCGTTGCCCGCTGGCACAGTATACCGTATGCCTGCTCCTGTTGTTGGTCCGCGCAGCATTTGGACAGACAGTTTTGTGTTCCTTAAGCTTTCATTTGCCCAAGCGCCGATGGCAACAGACCGCCTCTGGCCTCGGGCAGCAAGCGTCAAGACCTGTGGCTAGCCAAGCTGCGCACAGCACCCATTCAAGGCTTGATGACTTTCTGGGTCTTCTTGGCGCTTGTCAGACCAGAGTTCCAAAGTGCTCCGGCTAGTGTCAAACTGCTGCATGTTCAGCTCAAGAGACAGTGCACACTGCGACGCGGCCACCAGTCCGAAACAGCGGTGCATAGCGGTGCCTTTGATTTCGCTTTCTTTCCGCCAGCATGGCCAGAGAGGAGGGGACCTGGGATCGACCTTTGACGCATTCGAGGGACCGGATGTCTTGGACACCTTTCCGTTCCGGTGTATCCGCGCAGCCGCTTTGGAGAGTAGCTAGGGCATCCAGAATGAATGAGGCATCCCTGGATGACAATGAGGAGAGACTAAGTTATGGTGTTTTGAGGGGTTGCATGTTTTTTAACGCAAGTTGTTCGAGGAGAAAAGCCACAGCATCGAGGACCTCCTGCGAGCTTTGGAGAAGCATCGTTCTGTTACTCAGTTGTCACAGTCCAGCTGAGTCCAACCCCCTCCTTTTGGGTGTTCAGCTCGGCAAGTTGCTACAGAGGCATCGAGTGTGAACAAGCCGGCAGGTGCAGCTGCAGCTGTGTGCAGCATGCTGCAGCTGTGTAGGTCCTGTAGGTTCTTGAAAGACTTTCGCCCCTCGATTCACAGCTTCTGCTTCCTTAATTTACTGAAGGTATGAAGAGGCGGAGCTGGCACGCCTGCGACTGGACCAGCTCCGACAACACGAGGTCCGGCTGTACAGCTGTACAGCAGGAGACCGAGCAAAAGCAAGCTGAAGCTACTCAGCTACTCGAAAGGAGCGCAGCCGGAGAGACGCTCTCTTGGAGCAGCAGCTGCCCGGACTAGAAAACGGTGTTCTTCGGGCATTGCTTCGGAGCTGTGCAGGCTGTGCCTGTCAACCTGAGGCTTGCCGAGCGAATGGGTGTGGAAGAGGCCCACATGCTCGGCTTGCAGGCCATATGCAAACGTTCAGATGGTGCAGCTTCACTGGTTCACGGTGCTGTGTGAATCAGGAGTTCAGCAATATTTGGGACCAGAAGCAGCAAGACTTTGAGTCTCGTGCCAGACTCTCAGATTCGCAGAATTGGCTGAGACGCCGCTTGGTCTCAGTAAGCCGAGGCAAACCAGCTGCAGAAGGTGCTGGCAACTCGCCACAAGCAAGAACACCAGGAGCGAATTACGTTTGTCCTCTGCAATGCGAGCTCTGAGCTGGGCCCCTGGGCCACACTTTGCGAGGCGCACCTGGAAAAGTTGCGAAGGGAAGTGGAGCCCAGGAGCGGTGTCACAGCAACGTCCAAGATGGATCTGAATCTGCCTTTTAGCGACATGTCTCATCTTTCAAGGACCCCACGCTGGAGCCGCGACCTCCTCAATTTGCGAAAGATCCAGGCAAGTGCCCCGACCTCCCGAGCTCAGTCGTGTTCAGACGACGTCAGGAGACGCTGGCGAAAATGCGCAAGTATGCTGAAGCAGAGAAGACAAAGGCCATCCTGACACAGGCTTAAAGACAAAATGGCCTTTCTCGCCCTTCCTCCGTCCAATTGAAGGTTCAGGCGGACAAGCTGGAAGCCAAAGAGCACAATCAGTGGAAGGAGCCGACATGCGAGGACTACAAATCGCTTGAGTCGCAGAGGGTCATGGGCTTTGCAGGAGAAGCGGGAGGCCAGGATCGCAGTCATGGAGGAGCAGCCGCGAGCCCAGATGCCTTTGAGTTTGGGTTGTTTGAGCCTCTATGGGTAATTGGGGAGAGGTTCCTCCACAAGCAGCAGCTGGAGATGGGTGGTTTGCTGAAGCGGCTGAAGCTGCAACCTCAGAGGGGCTCAGAAAACTTCTTTGGTCAAGGAATTTCCGGTCTTCAAAGTTTCGCCATGGCTTTGCCTTAGGGCCTCGCGTGAAGAGCTGCGACGCTCCCGAAAGCTGGAGATCGAAAGGCTCCTGCAGCGCCGGGCTCCAAGCGAAAATCTAGGGAACACGCTCAGTAACGCAAGGTGCACCCTAGAGTTAACGCTGAAGTCTTGTTAAGAGATCAGGCAGATGGCAGAAGGGCTGCTGAAATGCTCACGGTTTGATGGTGTGGCAAATCAGTACCCCAAAAGCAGTGTTTGATCATGGGAATGTGAACATTCTGCACATTCCCATGCTTTGCTTTGCTTGGCCCGGTGACCTAGTGGCGGGCCCTGCCGTGCCCTGCCGTGCCCTGCCTCGCTTCGTTCGTCTCCTAACGTTTCAAAAGTATATTTACTTCTCATCTCTCTTCGAGCATCCCCACCCTAAAGCCATTATTGAACAAGAAATGTAATGTTTCCGGAAGGATTTGGGGGGCGAGAACATTACGCTACACCGTGTGGTGTGATAATGATATTTTTGAAAGTTGTTGCAAGTATGCGAGCATTTTTTTTGGCCGGCCCCATCCCCCCCCCGGTTGGTGCGTGCACAGCAGTTGGGCGTTGTAATTGGCGAAGTCAGCAAAAGTTAGCATCTGTGGGGTTCGGCATTGCAAGCGCTGGGCAGCACAAGGAGACTTTGCCACTGAGCACTGCAAGGATAGTGAGTTTGGGCACTGCAGGGATACGTTGCCATGGGCGCTGCAGAAATACTGCGGGGTTGCGCATTGCAGGGATACTCTGCTGTTGGGCGTTGCAAGAATACTCAACGGTCGCTGTTGGCCATGAAGAGAGACTTTGCCCTGGAGCACTGCAAGAAATACTGGGGGTTTGGGCACTCCAGGGATGGGCACTGCAGAAATACTGCAGGGTTGGGCACTGCAGGGATACT